TCAATGGTCGAAATGATTTCGACCATTTCGACTATTTCGGATATCTGAAATGATCCATTTCGACTTCATGTATAATCGAAATATATAGCTCATGAAAAATGGGTGATATACCTAATGTAAAATATGAAGAAGATATTGTGTTTATGATTTATATAACAGTTCATTGGAAAGACGATCCTGAACTGTTAAAGCAAATCTGTCTTATTGACTTTGAAACTATGCTGGACTCACAGTTGATTACAATTATATGCGAGTCTCAAGTTAATTTATTAAAAGCATTTATCTTATGCTAAAAACTTTTAGCCCTAGATATACATATAGGCTTTAATGATTCTCAGTATGATTAGCAATTTATTGTTGAGAAAGCTAAGAAGTTAGGAGTTGTTAAATGGATGTTTAATTATATATCAATCAAACCATCAGGTATTGAGAAAATTGTAAAATGGCAATATCAATATAATGTGATAAAGGTTAATGATAGATAATTTCATTCAAAGCATCTTAAAATTTCAGGATGTGTAGCTATTGACGTTCAGCCCTGTTTTATGAGATTTCATCCCAAAGCTAAAAAGAGTAACCTGGTATTTACTTAAACGAATCTGGATTTGAAAGTAAATTGGATATGCCTATTCATCACATGAACAAATATTATGAAAGACATTAAATGAAACAAATGCTACAACAGTTGAGAAGATACGTAAAATAGCCAAATACTGTATTATTGATGCCTTTAGCTGCTAATAGTTAATAATTAAGCACAATATAATCAACAAATATAGGGAGATTACAAGTATAGCCTTTTTATCATTATTTAATGCATATTACTTTGCAGGGAGATAAAGGTATGTAATCTTTTAAGTGCTAGCACATTGAGAGATAGGATCTTAACCAGTACTATTCAATATCAGCAAACAGAATCTAGAAAGTACCCTGGTGTATACGTCTTCTTACCAATAAAGGGATTCAAAAATAAACATCCTGTAACTGGCTTAGATTTCACATCATTATATCCGAGTCTTATTATAACTTACAACCTCTCATCTGATAAAATCATTTTATCTCAAAAATATGCTGAATCTCTGAGAGATAGTGGCAAAATACTTTATGAAATTAATTTCAAATTCAATGGTAATAATGTTCTTGCATGGTCTATAAGATATAATAACATTCCTGAAAAAAAAGGTCTTTATGCTACTATATTGAAATATTTATCTGTTAAATAGAATGAGATAAAGAAACGTCTTACCCCTTTGAAAAAAAAAAAGAAAGACATAGAACTGGTAATAGGTTTAATGGATAAAGATTTGTCATTACCAGAAGTAATTGAGCACGTTTTAACAAAAGCAGAGGAGAAAAAATATGCTAGCCTTAACAAAAATCTATACTATTTTATTAATAAAGAAAAGCATGAATTCATAGCAGAATATGATTCAGTTTGTTTTGATTATTCTTGCTTTAATGCGCAATAAAATGCTCTTAAGGTGTATATGATTTCATTTTATGACACTGCTAGAGATAGTAAATTTCCTTTCTTCTTGCGTGAACTGGCTGGGGTGTCATATCGGCTGAACAGAGAAATATCAAACTTGTTGTGAATTTCATTGAAAGAAAGGGTTTTCAAAAAAATATGAAGATACCGATTCTTTATATCTAGTTTGTCTAAAAGAATACTTTCAAGAATGTGATAAGGAATATGACAATAGCATTAGGTTCTCGAAAGAAGAATATTGGTCTTAAATGGTGAAAATCTCTATAGAAGAAATGGAGAAACTTCGTGATGAAGTTAATAAATTTCTCAGAAAAGATAACAAATCACCTTATCATAAAATGGTTTATGAGAAAGTTTTATTTCCAGTAGTATTTACTGGGAAGAAAAATACTATGGTATTCTACATAAAAGCAAGCCAAACTTTAACAAAGAGCTTTTTATTCAAGGAGTTAAGATTGTAAAGCAGGGCAGTCAAGCCTTTTCTGCAAAGTAGAAAGGTGTATTATGGATGAATTTATGAAGGTGAATAATTTGCGTACCTTACATCAAATTATAGAGGATGTTCTTATGGAAACTGTAAAGGATATTTCTCAGACTGATCTTAATAAAATAATTAAAACTGCTGTGTAAAGGCCTGATAAAAATAACAAGAGTGTAAAGCATTTCATTTTACGAATATGATATAGACATACCTGTGAAGAGGCAGACGCCAAATAGTTCATAAAAAAGGGTTTAGCACCTGAGCCTTATCTTTATGAAATCCCAGAGCCAGGTGAATGCTTTGAATATGTTATAGTTTAGAATAATTCATCACAAAAGGTAAGAGATAAAATGGAGTACCCAGAAGTAACAAGACAACTTGGTAAAAAGATTGATATTAACTATTATCTGAAAAGCATTATCGAGTTATATGCGCGTTTTATAAATTATGATGATAGATACCAGCTATCATTTGAAACTTTGCTACAAGTCTTAAAAAAGTTAAAAGATGAGGTTCTAAAAGGACCTGATAATAAAGCAGATAAAAATACAATGGATGAAGATGAAGCAGATGAAGACGAAGTGGATGAAGATATGGTATCAAATATAAAAGATTCCTTAACGCAAAAATCAGCTAAAAAGTAGGTTAAATTGTATATTAAAAATCTACATGAAGATCTGAAAAAAGATGAAGTCATTATTTTCCATTTATGAAAAGAAACTAGTACATATGTGAAAATTTTATATAAAACTACTTATGCTCACAAGATAGGAAAATATATAGTTAACAATGCCTATTATAAATCCCTATAAATAATCAGTATAAGGAAAGTATACGGAAATAATACGTTTTTTAAACGTATAAAAAACGTAGAAAAA